AAAAGGGGAAGAGAATGGAAAGTTAAAAAGGAAACAGAAGGGAAGGGGGGAGGGAAAAGGGGAAATTGAAAGGGAAGGGAAAGGAAAAAGGGGAGAAGTGGAGAAGGGGAAGAGAAGGGAAAGGGGAAAGGAAGGGGACGCACAGAGCACGTCCAGGAGGACGTCGGGAGAGCTCCGGCTGCCACTGGCGGTGCTGGCCTGGCACCGGTACAGCCCGGTGTCCCCGCTCCGCACCGGCCGCAGCTCCAGCGACGTGGCCGAGCCCGTGGAGATCTGCTGCCCGTTGTGGTACCAGGTGACATTGGGGACAGCCATGGAGCCGCTGCTCAGGTGACAGGTGAGGGTGGCATTGTCACCCTCCAGCACGTGGCGGGAGGGGGACACGGTGACATTGGCAGCTGTGGGCAGGAGGAAACGGGGTCTGGTGTCAACGGTGGGGTGACAACCCCTCAAAGCCACCAAAGGACAGCGTGGCTACCCCAGCGGGCAAATTGCAGCTGATCCCACAGTGCCGTGGTGGGGACAGCTCTGAGGCTGGAACTGCCACCAGCCCAGGGACATCCCTTGGCCACGTTTTGCTCGGTGTTCCTGTCACACAGAGCCAGGGAATCCCCACCAGGGGCTGGAATGTCATGGGGGAGCCACCATGTCTGGGTTTTGTGGACATGTGGCATTGCCATGTCTGGATTTCATGGACATGTGGCATTTCCATGCAACATTTCCATGTCTGGATTTCATGGACATGTGACATTTCCATGTCTGGATTTCACAGACACGTGGCATTGCCATGTCTGGATTTCATGGACATGTGGCATTTCCATGTCTGAGTTTCATGGACATGTGGCATTTCCATGCAACATTTCCATGTCTGGATTTCATGGACATGTGACATTTCTGTGTCTGGATTTCATGAACATGTGGCATTTCCATGTCTGAGTTTCATGGACATGTGGCATTTCCATGTGGCATTGCCATGTATGGATATCATGAATGTGTGTCATTTCCATGTGGCACTTCCATATCTGGATTTCATGGACACGTGTCATTTCCATGTCTGGATTTCATGGACATGTAGCATTTCCATGCAACATTTCCATGTCTGAATTTCATGGACATGTGACATTTCCATGTCTGGATTTCATGGACATGTGACATTTCCATGTGTAATTTCCATGTCTGGATTTCATGGACAGGTGGCATTTCCATGTCTGGATTTCATGAATGTGTGTCATTTCCATGTGGCACTTCCATATCTGGATTTCATGGACATGTGACATTGCCATGTCTGGATTTCATGGACAGGTGGCATTTCCATGTGTGGATTTCATGAATGTGTGTCATTTCCATGTGGCACTTCCATATCTGGATTTCATGGACATGTGACATTTCCATGTCTGGATTTCATGGACACATGGCATTTCCATGTCTGGATTTCACAGACACGTGGCATTGCCACATCTGGATTTCATGGACAGGTGGCATTTCCATGTCTGGATTTAATGAATGTGTGGCATTTCCATGTGGCATTGCCATGTCTGGATTTCATGGACACGTGGCATTTCCATGTATGGATTTCATGAATGTGTATCATTTCCATGTGGCACTTCCATATCTGGATTTCATGGACATGTGACATTTCCATGTCTGGATTTCATGGAGACGTGGCATTTCCATGTCTGGATTTCATGAATGTGTGTCATTTCCATGTGGCACTTCCATATCTGGATTTCATGGACACGTGGCATTGCCATGTCTGGATTTCATGAATGTGTGTCATTTCCATGTGACATTTCCATGTCTGGATTTCATGAATGTGTGTCATTTCCATGTGACATTTCCATGTCTGGATTTCATGAATGTGTGTCATTTCCATGTGGCACTTCCATGTCTGGATTTCATGGACACGTGGCATTGCCACGTCTGGATTTCACGGACATGTGGCATTTCCATGTGACATTTCTGCCCCTCCTGCCACCATCTCCTGAGCTCGCCTCCTTCCCCAGCATTCCCTTCCCGTGCTCCCCTCCCTCAGAACATTCCCAGGTGCCACAATCCCGTCCCCTGTCCCCTGTCCCCACTCACTGTCCGCCTTGAAATCCACAGTGGCGCTGGCGCTTCCTTGGGAATTCCCAGCCTGGCACACGTAAATCCCCTCATCCTCCACCACCACGTCCCGGATTTCCACCTTCAGGCTGTTGTAGGACCTGGTGACGAGGACTCTGGGGCTGGTGGCTTGGGGACAGCCCTGGGTGCAGGCGATGGCATCGTCCCCTCTCCGGAGGGTGAGGTTGGACTCGGGATCGCTCTCTACGGAGCACTGGATGATGCCCAGGCGTCCACCCTGGCTCTGCAGGAACGAGCTCAGCACCGGCTGCCTCGGGGGGTCTGTGGGGGAAAAAAATGGATCCGTGAGGTTGGGAAAATTCCCAGAATCCAAGGGATTGATGCTTCCAGCACTGCCTGATCATCCAGGTTGGATGGGGTTTGGAAGAACCTGGGACAGTGGGAGGTGTCCCTGCCAAGGGAAGAGGGCTTGGAATGAGAAGGGCTTTGAGGTCCCTCCCAACCCAATCCGGGGACAAAACACCACTGGATCCATTGGGAAAACCCTCGGAATCCAAGGGATCGATGCTCCCAGTGCTGCCTGAGAAACTCTCGGACATCCACGTTGGACCTGGTCTAGTGGGAGGCGCCCCTGCCCATGGCAGAGGGGTCAGAACGAGATGGGTTATGAGGACCCCCAAGCCCAAACCATTCATGGTTCTCTGAGCACCTATTGTTCTTGAAATTCTTGGGAAGGTGGGAATTCTCCAAATTCCTCCTCCCACAAAGCACCCAGATTTACCCGCCAGAGGGAATTTTTCACCCTCCCCACATTCCCGCCCAAGAGCTCCTTGGCTGTGGCTGGTGGGGATGGGGGAAACCTCAGGGTGGGAGCACCCCCAGCTCAGGACCCTTTGGAATTCCCACGGGACACTCACAGAGCACTCGGAGCGGGACAGCCTCTGACGTGTCGCTGCCGTTCCTGCCCCGGACCTGGCACTGGAAGGCGCCGGCGTCGTCCCCGCGGACGGACGGGAATTCCAAGGTCGGGAATGAGCTCTCCTGGAGCCTCCGGCCGTTCCTGTACCAGGTGTAGAGCGGCTCCTCCTCCGTGTCCCCTGTCCCCACGCAGGTCAGGGTGACCGCGGTCCCCTCCGTCACCTCCGCCGAGGGCTGGACCAGGAGCCCTGCAGCTGGAGGAGAGGTGGGAGAGGGATTTCAGGGAAGGAGGGAAATCCTTCCCATGGATCCATCCAGATACAATTCCTTGCTGGGCTTCCTTGAGTCCTCTTCCTCACCGGAGCCCGTGGGGTCTGTGGGTTTTTAGGGAATGACATTCCCTGGGAACACTGCACAGGCAAATGGGGCCTTTCCTGACCTTTTCCCATTTTTTCCAAGTGCCAGGTTCATCCAGGTGACTTTTTCCCAGGACAGACCCTGTCCCCTTTTCTCACTGGCTGGGCCTTGTCTGACTGCCAGCTCCCCACTGGGACACACAAATCCAGGTTTGGTTTCTCTGGAATTGGACTTTGGTGTCTCTTTTGGGCTTTTTTTTTTTGGGATCCTAAAGGATTTTCCTCTTGAATGTGGATCTTTTCTCTCCTTCTGCTGCCTCTGTCACCCCAAACAATCCAGACTTGGGGGGCAGGGGACAGCGACTGGTGGGGACAGATGGGTGCAGAAAAATTTGCATAAATTTACTGATTTTTGGCATTTTGGGAAACAAAACCCGGGAGCCTTTCCAGCTCCCAAAGCAGCTCTGACCCTGCTAAGGAGGGGGCACCACACAGCCCCCAGGACACCGATGTCCCCCAGTGCCACCACAGGGGTCCTGCAGCTCTGTGGGCTGCGTGTCCCCCAGATTTTGGGGGGTTCATCGCCACCCTGACCCCAGGAGCAGCTGTGTCACCGCGGGACTCACCGCGGGTCACCAGGACCTTGGTGGCGCTGGCGTTGCCGTGGACGTTGGTGGCGGTGCAGCCGTACTTCCCGCCGTCCCGGGGTCCTGCATCCCGGATTTCCAGCCGCAGGGAATTGCGGGAGGCGGTGATACCGAGGCGCTGGCCCAGGGCCACCTGCGCCCCGCTGGTGGCCAGCACGGTGCCATCGCGGCCGATGGCCAAGGTGGCCGGAGGGTGGCTGTCCACAGTGCAGTGGACAATGACCAGCCGGCCACCCTGGGTCTCCTGGAAGAGCGTGAGGGTGGGAATTCGGGGTGGATCTGTGGGATGGGAGAGGGTGCTGAGGTTGGGATGTCCTCGTGCTGTGGTCACGGGGACAATCCCGGAGCGCTTTGAGTTGGAGGGGACATTGAATCCCAGCTGGTGCCATGAGCACCTTCTACTAGCCCAGGTGGCTCCCAGCCCCATCCAACCTGGCCTTGAGCACTTCCAAGGATGGGAAATGTCCTCCCACTCAGCCTGGATGTCGCAATCTGCTTGTCCCGTGTGTCACCGGGTCAGACTTACCCCAAAATTGTCACAACCAACCCGTGGCTGGGTTATTTCCCCCCCCGAAAACCTCCTGAGGTGTTCTTATTCTGCTGGATTCTCCATGAAAAACCTCCCCAGATCTTACGGAATGGAGGGGATTAGTGGGAGATGCTGCCATGGACACATCCCAAATGTCACTTAATGTCACCTTCACACTTGCCTCATGGCCAAAATTTGTTGTATTCCCATAAAATTCAACCAGCAGGGTTGACCCCCCCCCTCATCTACCCTTGGGGTGCTCAGAAAGAGGCTTTGCCATGAATTTTTTGGGGGGATCCCCTGGATTTTGGGGGGTTTGCACGGCCCCGTGTGGCAGGAGCTGGTGGCACTCACACGTCACGCTGAGGCTGATGGCCTGGGCCGTGTCGCTGCCCTGGCTGTTGGTCACTTGGCAGGAGTAGTAGCCGGCGTCAGCGGCGGCCACCGCGGGGAAGAGGAGGGTGTGGGCCGGGCCCTCCTTGAGCCAGGCGCCGTTCTTGTACCAGGTGTAGGTCAGCTCCTCGGGATGTCCCTCCCGCCCGGGCACGTCGCAGGACAAGGTGGTGGCTGTCCCCTCGCGCACCTCGGCCGCGGGGCTGGCCGAGATCTCTGCGGCTGAGGGACAAGGGGCACGTTCGGGATGGCCCTGGGGACGGGAGAACTGAGCGCCCGCCCCAAATCCCCCGTTCCAGAGCCTGGGAGAAGATGGAAGCCCCAGCGACAGAGCTGAGAGACATTTGGGTTTGTCCCCTGCCACCAGCTGGGGACACCTGGCTTTAGAGCAAAGCCCCGAGGGCCAAACTCATGGTGGGTGGGGAAGGGTCTTTCACCCCTCAGGGTGAGATCAGGGGGAATTTGGGGGGAGAACAGGGATCTGGGGGGAGATGCTCCCTGTGGGGCTCCAGCTCAGGCAGGGAAGGCTGGGATTTGTCTTGGCTGCGGGAGCTGGTGGGAAGGGGCTGGGCTGGAATTCCCAGAGAAGCTGGGATCCCTGGAAGTGCCCCAGGCCAGGATGGACATGGCCTGGATCCACCTGGGATAGCGGGAAGTGCCCCTGCCCATGGCAAGGGTGGGAATGATCCCTAAGGTCCTGTCCCACCATGGCTCTGGATCTCCATGAGCTCCCAACCCCTTCCCAGCTCTGCTGCCTGTCCTTGGCTGGAAATCCCTCCCTGTTTTCTGGGATCGCAGAGACAAGGGACAGAGGTGTGGCACAACGTGGCCACCACCCTCCTCCTGCATGGACACCCCAATTCCCGGACCTCCAGCAGCACTGGCCACCTCCATCCCAGTCCAATTCCCAGACCTCCTGCAGCACTGGCCACCTCCATCCCAGTCCAATTCCCAAACCTCCAGCAGCACTGGCCACCTCCATCCCGGTCCAATTCCCGGACCTCCAGCAGCACTGGCCACCTCCATCCCAGTCCAATTCCCAAACCTCCAGCAGCACTGGCCACCTCCATCCCGGTCCAATTCCCAA